ACGTGCGAAAGAATAAAATCAGGACGTCTGAGGGTTTTGACCCTTTTGAAATTAAATTGAATTAAAAGCTAATTAATTATTTAATTAAATTAAAGAAAAGAAGGAAGAGAAAAATGTTTTTTATGTTTTTGGTATTTAATGAAATAAAGAAAATTAAAATCAAGAGAAACCATAATTCTAAGTTATTTTTAATTATTAATAAAAAGAAATATTAAAGTTACTCTAATTTACTAATTAATTAATGTACATGTTTATTTACGAAAATAAATAGTAATTATAATAATAAATAATGAGAAAAATAATTAATTAAGAAAAAAGATAAAATGTCAAAAACCTAATTCTACATATTTTATTTATTAAGAAAAGATTAAAGTTTAAAACCTAAATTATCTAAGTTAATTGTTAGTTATTTCTTCACAAAAATAAATTAATGAGTAAATTAATAAATAATTAACATATTTTGTATTTTTCTGTTTTTATTATGGAAAAAATTATTTCATGGAATTAAAGAAAACAATTAAAACAATTTAAACAATTTAAACAAAATTAGAATTAGAAAGATGCAAACCAGGGGATATCAGGCCCAGAATGGAGGTTTTTTGAAGTAATTTTGGCCCAAGAGACAAGGCCTTATTTGACTTTTCTGATCATGCGTATGATGCTTGACTGGGGTACACCCTGGATACCATTCTGTGGCCATTGGATGAGTGATCATGAGCGCGTGGCAGGCTAGCGTGTGAGGATGCATGGTAGGCCTTTTGGTGAACGCTGCATGGAAACACATTAGGAGAAAAATTATGAAATATGTGGGGGGACCTGGGAATCGAACCCAGGTCCCAGCACTTACCAAGCGCGTCCCTTGCCAATTGAGCTGCAAAACGCCTTTGTATATGTAATGGAAAACAAATATTATAATAAAAAACAAAAGTTAATAATGTAAAACAAAAAAAAATGCGCTGAAATTCAAATGTTCCAGTTACAATATGCCATGCGTGCTTCGTCTTCGTCTTCCCTGCAAATTATAAAACAAGTAGCGGGGGTTTTAAACCCCCACTAAGCATAGCCACGAAAAATAGCGAATAGAAGATGCGTTAACATAAATTGAGCGCGAGGTCATCATTCAATTCGTATGGAGCTCCTGAATTCAACTGCATAGGTCTCAAGGTCCAATTTTTCCATATAAGGAAAGCCTTATTTTGAAGCTTCTGAAACCCTAGGTTTCATCCATGGTGAATTTCGTTTCAAGCATTTTTAGCACAATTAAACCACATCAAAAGTTTCAGGGAGATGTCAGTAATGCAAATCAATGAATAAAATATATGAATGATGCGTAGAAATTGAAATTCGATTATGGAATATTTGTGAAGAAACGAGACTCAGTTCTACCGATTCTTGGAGTATGGGGACTTGTTCTTGATGCCAATAGTTTCCTGGAAGGTCCAGCAACGTGTTGGAATACTTTTTATGCTTTGAAACGTCCTGCAACTATGATTTCAGTTTTCCAAATTTCTTGAGTTTTTTGCAACTTGGTTATCACTTTGTGAGCAGCTTTTCGTGTATATATGAATTAGGTTTCCTTGTGCATATGTAAGTGAACGATTCTAGGTCAAAAAACAAGCCCATAGGTCCAAGAATTTATGATTCATATATTTGATTTTCAATCATGAAATTTCAATCTTTTTTCATTGAAATCTTTTCCAATCATGGATGATTTTCCTTTTTTGGATGTGAAACGACCTAGCCAGCATGCCCTAGTATGATTTGCTGCACAAAAAGATTTGAAAAAGCATTATTTGATATTTTCTCATAATTAAATCTAATTAAATGAATTAATAAAAATAAAAATTCAATTAATTAATTAAAAATAATAAAATAAATCCCTTTGAGCTCAATGGGTCGTGCATAGGCTTTGGATAATGATTCAAGGAAGAATTTGAGGCCCATTAGCAATTTAGAAGTGTTTTAGGCAAAGTTGACTTTTGAAAGTTCCCAAAAATTTCCCAACTTCTCCAATGCATATCTTGCTCAATTTTGAAGTTATGATCATGTTCTTGGACATGTTGGAAAGGTCTTGAAGTCCTCTAACCAATGTCTTTGGTCCCATGTCATTTTTATTTACCAATCTCAAGTTATGGTCTTTGACTTAAAGTGCCTTTTTGTTGACTTTTGAAAAGGACCTATAATGTTGAAATTGATAACTTTTTGTGAGATCATTTCTTGGACTTGGAGTGTGAAGATGAGTTGTAGGAAATGTCATCCTCTTCAAAATGAGCTTTGGATGGGATTTTTCTGATAAACCATGAAGAAGTTATGCCTTGGTCAATTTGCAGTTGACTTTTTCAACTGTCCAAAAATAGAAACTTTTGCATCTTGAGACTTTTTGAGCCATGCTTTGAGAATCATGATCAAGAATTGATCAAATGATGTTTGTGGCTTCAAAATAAGATGTTGACCAAAAATTTTGACTTTTGACTGTCAAATGACCATTTTGCCCCTGCAGTTGACTGTGGAGCAATTAGTGTTTTTTTACTGTGAAATTTGGTGCTGTGAGTCTTGAAACTTGACATATGGATGCTTGACAATGTATATAGGCATGTGGGACTTGATTGGACCCTTGAAAATCTCAATTTCTTTGCAAGAAGCAAAACCCTAATTTTGACTGTGTTAGGAGGCAATTGGACTGTGCAACCCTTGAGAGATTTTGAAGCTTGATCTTGGCAAATCTTGAAGAATATGGGAGGGAAAATTTTAGGGTACAACAGTTGCCCCTGTTCAATCTTCTTAAACCTGAGGATGTAGATTGGCTGGCGTGCCTTTCGTAATCCGAAGGTGGAAGATGATTGAACACTAGAGTGCCCAGAAATTTGCACTCACATAGTAGAGTATCAGCAGTGTGATGGCGAGAATGGGCTTACAGATGCCATTTGGAGAGATGGTGGATAGGGGGATGGGCTTATAGATGCCATCCGGAAGTGTGACAGTATCTTGTCGGGAATGGGCTTATAGATGCCATTTGGAGACTGTTGGTATGTGGATGGGCTTACAGATGCCATTGGGAGGTTGTCGATCGCGTAAGAGATTCCTTAGCGAGAACTTGTGTACCTGAGAAATAAAGATAATTACCTGGCCTGTTACAGGGGTTGATCTTCAAACTCTTTATGTAGATGTGCCCTGGCTGGATACAGGAATCGAATCTTTAAACTCTTCAGACGTGCCCTGGCAAGATACAGGAATCGAGTCTGGAGAATAGTCGTCAACAGATACACCCTGGCAAGATACAGGAATTGGATCTTCAAACTCTTCAGACGTGCCCTGGCAAGATACAAGAATCGAGTCTGGAATATAGTCGTCAACAGATACACCCTGGCAAGCTATAGGAATCGCATCTTCGAACTCTTCAGACGTGCCCTGGCAGGATACAGGAATCGAGTCTAGAATTAGTCGTCAACAAATACACCCTGGCAAGATACAGGAATCAGATCTTCAAACTCTTCAGATGTGCCCTGGCAGGATACAGGAATCGAGTCTGGAATATAGTCGTCAACAGATACACCCTGGCAAGATACAGGAATCAGATCTTCAAACTCTTCAGACGTGCCCTGGCAGGATACAGGAATCGAGTCTGGAATATAGTCGTCAACAGATACACCCTGGCAAGATACAGGAATCGGATCTTCGAACTCTTCAGACGTGCCCTGGCAGGATACAGGAATCGAGTTTGGAATATAGTCGTCAACAGATACACCCTGGCAAGATACAGGAATCGGATCTTCGAACTCTTCAGACGTGCTCTGGCAGGATACGGGAATCGAGTCTGGAATTAGTCGTCAACAGATACACCCTGGCAAGATACAGGAATCGGATCTTCAAACTCTTCAGACGTGCCCTGGCAGGATACAGGAATCGAGTCTGGAATTAGTCGTCAACAGATACACCCTGGCGAGATACAGGAATCGGATCTTCAAACTCTTCAGACGTGCCCTGGCAGGATACAGGAATCGAGTCTGGAATTAGTCGTCAACAGATACGCCCTGGCGAGATACAGGAATCGGATCTTCAAACTCTTCAGACGTGCCCTGGCAGGATACAGGAATCAAGTCTGGAATATAGTCGTCAACAGATACACCCTGGCAAGATACAGGAATCAGATCTTCAAACTCTTCAGACGTGCCCTGGCAGGATACAGGAATCGAGTCTAGAATATAATCGTCAACAGATACACCCTGGCAAGATACAGGAATCGGATCTGGAATCACGACAGCTGATAGTAATTATCTTTGTATTGACCTTTGTCCTGAAAAGACAAAACATTAGTTGTATGCAATGTCATGATGTATGACATGCGTGATTTTCTCAAAATAAATGAGATTGTATGTTCATGATGCGTATGTGCATGCTATAATGTATGAAGATATGATGTTCATTGTGATCGGTGGATCTGGAACTGACTGTTTAAAGCTGGTTCGCGAAATGTCGCGGAAGCAAGAGTCGTCACCGTCTTTTATTTTCTCCAAATGGAAAGGACAAAAGCACAGAAAAATTCCTTATAGAGATTGCTCTCGGTTCGGGAGGTAGATTATAGAAAGGGAAGGTGTTAGCACCCTTTCTATCCATGGTTATCCATGGGCTCTTAGATACTTGCTCATTTGTGTTTTCAAAATTGTTTGTTTGCTTTTCAAGTGTGGGTTTTAAAAAGTTTCTTTGAAAATTCCAGTTCGACTCTTGTATCGGTCCTCAAGAGTGTTTGAAAAGTTGCTTTCGAAAGCTTTTTGAAAATGTGTCGGTGTGAAAAGTATTTTTGAATTTGTTTTGAAATTAGAGCAAGTATCTAGAGTCGTCTACCTACCCTAAGGAATTTGTCTGTGTAGATGTCCTTTAAAGTAGTGCCATCCCACCATTGAGAGGTAGGTAGCACCACCGTTGGAGGTGTTCGGGTCAATTCGAGGTTCGGGACATGGTGATCACCAGAGCAATGGGAAGACACCTTAGAAGCTACCCTCATGCCAGGTTCCCGGATCATGAGGACTTACCAAGACATCCTCTACTCGACGATCACCTTTCGAGGCAAGGCAACAGTGAGGCGTACCCTAGGGGTGGTGTGTGATTTGTGTGCCAGATTCGTTTATTTTTGTCTTGTTCGTGTACAACATTTGTTGTCTCTGGCAACACTTTTTTAGGTAACATGTAGAAATTGTTGCCTTAAATTCATATAGGCAACGATTTACGATTGTTGTCAAAAATATGTTTGCAACCCTTGATAATCGTCGCCTAAAATACTTTTGGGGACGTTTATGGAGCGATACTCTTTTATTTTTTTTGCCAACGGTTGTTAATTGTGCCCTTAACTGCTTTTGGGGACGATTTTAGAGCGTTAAAATATTATTTCTTTAGCAATGTTTGACAATTGTCCCCTAAAATATTTTTGGGGACATTTTTAGATTGTTACATTAGTTCTAATAAAAGGCTACATTTCTGAAATGTTGTATAAATTTTTTTAGAATTATCAAATTTTTGATAGCTCTTCCCTCCAAAACTTATACACTAAAAAACAAATATTTTTCTCTGAACATTATTAATATATATATAAAAAATATTTTTCTAACACAGGAATTTAAAAATAAAAAATTTCAATTAAACAGAAAATAAAAAATTATATATATATATATATATATATATATATATATATATATATATATATATATATATATATATATATATATATATATATATATTAGTCTAAAACTTATATATATTTCAATTAAACAGGAATTTTTCTTCTAAAAACATAGAAATACACAAAAATTTTGTCACAAAGCACGAGCTGATGATGGAGGTGGAGACTGAAAAGAATCAAAACATAAACCCTAGGCAGCATCATATTTCTATTCACCTTGCATTATTATCATTTTTTAATGAAGAATGGTTCTGATTTAAAGAGAAAAACCACACACCACCCTTGCTGCAACACACAGTGACAACAAGAGCTTTTCGTTCCGCAATTGAAGAAGAAAACGAGAGAGGAACGGAACGAATCTCGAGTGTGAAATCACCTCACTCTATTGATGATGCTAAATCCAAGGTATGCCATTCCCAAATTCTCTCCTAATCCTATTCTAACTTCTTCTACATTGTTTCTTTATCGCTTCTTCAGTCATTTGCAACGCCACTATGGTAGAAAAAGTTCTGGGTTTCATAATGTAGATGCTGTTGTTACTCGTTTCAATTGCTTGATTCGCGCACTTTCTCCGCCACCCACTTGTGAATTTGACAAGGTTTTAGGAGCTATTGTGAGGATGGGTCATTATCCCACTGCAATTTCTCTTTTTTCGCAGTTTCAACTTAGGGGAATTTCACCTTCCATTGCTACTTTCAGCATCTTGATTAACTGTTTTTGTCATCAATCTCATATGGGTTTTGCTTTTTCGTTATTGGGTACCATTCTTAAGAGTGGCTATGAACCTAACATGGTGACTTTTAATACAATTATTAATGGTTTTTGTATGAATGGGATGATTTTTAAAGCTTTGAACTTTTACCAAGACCTAGTAGCCCAAGGGTATCTTTTTGATGAGTTTACTTATGGGATTTTAATCAATGGGTTGTAAGTTTCATATTCTAGTATCTTCATTACAGTTCTTTAAATTCTGTTATCACCGCAGTGTCTAAATTGAATCTTACTTTGTTCAGATGCCTAGCAGACAAAAGTCAATTCCCTTTCTTAAATGTTGTTTGTGAATACTGTCTGTCATTTGAAGTTGAGAGGAAGCTAGAAGCTTTGTATGATAAACTAGAGTAGAAGTTTGCAATGGTTTCTGTAGTCGGATTTTCCTAGTTCTCATATGTGAACATGTCCTATTAAAAGTTTCAAAACAGGAATTCATGGTTTAACAAACTTTATAGCTCATCTATTAAGTTTCCAATTGATTTAACAACTGGTTCCTCATCCAACGTTCTTTGAAGTTTTAACAATTTTAACAACCTGATTACTTGAGCACTGTTCATTAGTCTATAAATTGGAAATCTTGTGACCATTATTCCCATTTCCCTACACATACTCGTCAAGTTTATTATTGTCAAATCTTTAAATAATGCCTCTGTATGAGTCTGCACACATGGGCCAAATACAACATTGGGATCTTGGTTGGTTCCTATTGAGCTTTCTGAAGCATTGCACTGGAAGTTTGTTTGCTATCTAGCATCTTTGAGACTGTAAACCAATGAGTAACTGTGTGATTGATCTTTGACTGATAGCTATTCACTTAATGTATTTTTTGTTCTTAACAGGGAATCTGTTTGATGATAACAGTCTTGCAGCTGGCTCAATTACCCAATATTAAGGTAGCTAAATGGAATCCTTATATCTACAGTTAATTAACCATTCTTCCTTTTCTTAATTTTTTCTATTTGTCATCAATTACAATTATTGTCATTTTCTTATTCATCTAATTTAATAGGTTGCGACTGTACTCCTCTCTTCTGCTTTTGCCTACGACATCTTTTGGGTGTTCATATCTCCGTTGATATTCCATGAAAGTGTCATGATTGCAGTAAGTATTCACCTGTACAAGTAATACTTTAGCTCTTCACTTTTATATTTTTAGTGCAGTTTGCATCTTCAAAGGAAATTTTGGTAGAAAATGAGGAGAAACTAGAAAATGTAGTCAGAGGACAAAGTATCCTTTTAGCATAGTGTTATAATATAAGAAAGTATCCCCTCTGTTACTTTTTAATTGTCACTTTTGTTGAAGAATTTTGTTCCTATTTATCCGCCGTTTTCAAATTTTAATGCAACATTAATTATCGTTTTGTCAATAATACTTTTAAAGTGTGGATTGAGCCCAGTGGCGGAGCCAGCGTCCGGCCAGGTAGGGCAGCTGCCCAGGCTCCGCCCGACCATGCTTCACCATCTCGCGATGGAGATCTTCTATGGCCATCTTCCGACACACCATACCGTAAACAGATACACACCGCAACACCACTCTTGCCTTTCCGGTTTCCGTTCAATCAATTATCGGTGAGCATCACCTTCCTCCGCCGATTCTTTCTTCTTCTTGCTTCTGTTTCAATTCATATCTCCTACATCATTGTTGTTGTTTTGTTATTTGTTGTTGTTGTTGTTGTTGCAAGTTGTGGTGTTGAATTTGTTGTTTCGTGCTATGTCCACCAAGTGTTCGGTAAAATTTCTGAACGGATATTTTTCTTATTGGGCATCCTAGAATCCAAGAGTTGCTCTTCAACCGCCGAGAATGGTGAGAATTTCTTACACCTTTCCCTCTTTTTCATTTTTCATTTTCGGTTTTTTAACTTCTCTTGTAGCGTCTCTGAGGATGGGATTCCATCCAAATTTCCTCTCTCATTTCGCACTAGATCAGAGCTTCACTTTGCACTTCAATTGTTCCATAAAGCGGTTTGTTTTTATGTATTCATATCGATGAAAGTTTGTAAATCTATTTACACTGTACATGCAATTCTGCATTTGGAAGATAATTCTGGATTTGCACTCATACCTCAAGTCATACACTTGTAATTAATCTATGAGTTTTTGTTAATGTTCGCTTCATAATCTTTGCCCAAGTATTTTTCTGAATCTGGTTTGCTTGCTTATATCAGACTGGGGCTATGGATGTGTCAGAGTCAGGACGTGAATATGGGGCTAAAAACACTGACGACACCCCTGTGACGGGCACTTCTCAGAAAACTCGAGGGGGTAAGTTATTCACATTTAACTGGTTATCTCGTTTGTGCAATCTGTTGTGCTATGCTTGTAAATGTATGTTTCGATAGTTGATGATTTATTGAACTCTTGAAGATTACAGAAGATGCTCTTCAATACCTTTTGGTGCATGGTTGTCCTCCAAATGTCCGAACATATACTATATTGATCAATGCACTTTGTAAAGATGGCTCTTTTGATGAAGCTACACTCTTACTATCAAAAATGGATACCAATGATTTCCTCCCTGATGCTGTAACTTTTGATACAATTATTGGTGCACTGCTCAAGAGAAATGAGACCGAAAAGGCAGAGAAACTTCGTCATGAAATGATGGAGAGAGGTCTGGTAAATATTGAAAAAAGGTCAGATACTTTAGTTCCATTTTATTTATTTACTTGCTTTTGGACAGTAACTTCAGCTTCATTTTGGATTATGCTTCTATAATCTATTATCTTTCACACTCTGTAATGGATTAAATTGCCACATCTACTTGTTATTGTGTTATTTGAAAAAGAATCCATGATAGGATAGATATTTTGATATTTCATTACGGTTTTCTCAATATTGTGACTGTTTGTTTCATGTGATGGTGATTATTCATTGTTGTGGAATGACATGCTTGCTGTGTGATTAATGTTTGTGCAGCTTTTGAATTTGTGTTTATTGGAACATTATTGTGTGTATAGTGCCACTGATGTTTTAAAGCTTTGTTTGTGGTTTTGATTCTGGTAACAGTATTTGTGCTTTAGAATTAGAGGTTGGTATGGTTGTTATGAATCTGTGATTAACTTTTGATTTCATGTGTCACGCACGCGCAACATACTGCAAGGAGTTAAACTCCTTATCCAAAGCAGGATTGCCTCCCCCATTTAATGTTCTTCTTGTGTGTTATTCACTTTTCGAACCGATACAGGTTCTTTCCTATACTTTTTTTTTGCTACTTATATGACTTTTTTCATACATTAATTATAGTTTTAAAATATATATTTGCTCTACTCCACAACAGAAGGATGAACGTAAAATCCTGAAGCGTTGGAAGTGGAGATGTGTACTCATGGATGACGCACATGCTTTAAAGGACTGTAAAATTTAAATTATACTTCAGACAATTCACTATCAAAGCCCTTCATGGTCCCGCTCATACCAAAGCTGGATAGGTGAGTTTTCTCCGATGAAAAATATTTTTCTCAACTTAGATTAAATGTATCTGTTGTATTTATTTTGATACACGTATGTCCAATCCTCAAATATATTTGGAACTTATCAATATTACTTTTATAATTAATTATTAATTATACTTTTTTTTAATATTTATCAATTAGATATGACACAACAAAGTGATTAGTACGGTGATAATAAATAAGTGAATGAGCAAAAACAACAATCAGACCGAGTAGGATAAGAAAAACTTGGTCCGATCAGACTGAGTAGAAACGGAAAAACTCAATAAAATTGTTGAATTACAGGTCAAGTTTTACCTCTTAGTCTGCAAATTTTGTTTAATAAGTTTGTAATTGTAATTGCATTTCATTTTCTCATTTTCTAATTATTTGTCTGTAGATCATTCACCGTCGTTGTTTCGGTTAAACCTCAATAGATATTTCATCGGTTTCAACATCGTTTGGGAAAGAAACGTCTCCGTTTCATTTACTAGCTTTGTTGTTGTTGTTGCAGTGAAGGAAGTTGTGTTGAAATCGAAGTCGCTTGTAACTAAGGACAAGATTTTAGTTTCTATTACTGCTGGAATCAAGTTGAAAGAATTCAGGTAACAGATACATATTATATAGTTTGAAAAGAAACAACAAATACATATTATATTAGACTATGAAATGTTTGTGCATGTTTAGATTAAAAGTTCACCAATTTATTCTATGTTTGGTATTGGAATGCATGTTTAGTGTATATTTAGATTATAAATGAAATTTTTATAATAACTATGCATTTGTAAAAGCTACGTTGATATATGAACCATGGTGTTTTTCCATCCTTTATATGATAAAGAGTAATGTATAATTTATTTCATTTTAGAAAACCAAACATGATAAAGAAGGATTGGGTGGAGTTACCTCCACACAGTCAAAGTTATAAGGACGGTGTAAATTACTTTTTTGGATATTGCATTCACCAAAGGAATGGTTGAAGAAGAAGAGATTTTGTGTCCTTGTTCTGTATGTTGCAATGATAGTTGGGAAGTAAGAGATGTAGTGTATGACCATTTATGTAGTAAAGGATTTGTAAAGGGATACACGAATGGATTTATCATGGTGAAGATGAGAGTCTTATAGATCTTGATGGTTATAGTGATGATGAAAATTCACATCCATTAAAAACCTTCATAATTAATTCACATCCATGAGATGTGAAGAATATAAACAATGTGTTTTGCTCATTGGTTTAGTTTTTATTTGTGCGAGGTTTAATTCTTGTTGATGTCTTAATTGTCCTTTGGACCAAAAATACTTATGGTTAATGTGTTTTATTTTATTTTCTTATGCAGCAATGTATCAATGAAGATGTTGAAAATGACGATATAAATGATGAAATTCAAGAGGACGACATAAATGATAAAATTCAAGAGGACGACCTAAATGATAAAATTCAAGAGGACGACGTAGATGACGAATTTCAAGAGGACGACATAGATCTAGATGATGAATTTCAAGAGGAGGATATAGATGGTGAATTTCAAGAGGACGACGTAGATGAAGAATTTATGGAGGATGACATATCTAACGAATTTCAAGAGGACGATCTGGATGCTTTACTCCTAGAAGACAAACTTGAATGAGTTGGATGATGTCTTTTTTTGGCTTGTAGTTGAAAGCATTAAACTTGAAATATGATTTTTGTTCTTTTGCTGAACTATGTTTTTAGTTATTTTACTAGGGTCATACTTCAAAAAAGTAATATTGTTACGTTAGACATTTTGTGTACTCTATATACTATATCTTGAATTAAAGTTCGAACTCGATTTTATTATATTACAACTTTTATGGATGTATGGTTTAAGTTATATAATCAATATTATTTTTGAAGCCAATTATTATTGACTATATTATTTTGATAATAATTGCAAAATTGTATATTTTATGTGGACACTATAAAACAACAACCTATAAGCTATGGCTACACTTCAAAAACGATCTTCCTGATTCAGGTTTAAGGCAACGATTGTTAATTGTAGCCGAATTTGGCAACGCTTAAAAAACGTTGTCTCAGAGGTCGTAAATAATCGTCTCCTATTCCTTTACTATAGGCGACGTTTTTCAAAAGCGTTCCCAAAAAACATAAAAAAACGTTGCCTCAAACAATAGGCAACGCTCGCACAGGAGACGCCCAGAAAACGTCCCCTATTGTTTTAGGCAACGATTTTCAGAGTAATGACAACGTTTTTCAATTGTTGCTGGAGAGCCTAAATGTTGTAGTGAGTGATCTATGCGTTTGTTTTTATTTTTGTCATTCATTCTTGCATGCATTTATTTAACAGTTAAAAAGTGCGGAAAGATAAAATTCCTAAACTATTACAAAGGCGCGGGTCCACATCGCCAAATTAAAATCCAGGACCCGATTTGACATAAAATAAAGAAATAAAGTAAAGTGCGAAAGATAAATATTTACACGGCTTTGGGAGAATTACATCAATATTTAAAAGAAGGAATAAATAAAATGCGCGAATTGAATTAAAATTGAAAACGAGGGCGTTGGACCCTTTTGAAGTTAAATTGAAATTAAAAATTAATTAATTATTTATTGAAATAAAAGAAGTGTTTTTTAGGTTTTTTTGTATTTATAAAATAAGAAAATTAAAATTAAAATTAAAAGAAACCCTAATTCTAAGTTATTTTTAATTATTTGAGAAAAATGTTAAAGTTTAACTTAATTTACTAAAGAATTTATGTACATGTTTATTTACAAAATAAATTAGTAATTAATAATAATAATAATGATGAAAAAATTATTTATTAAGAAAAGTGATAAAAAGTTAAAAAACCTAATTTCTACATATTTTAATTTATTGAGAAAAAGATTAAAGTTTTAAAACCTAATTTACTAAACTAATTATTAAAGTTTATTTACAAAATAAATTAATAGTGAAATAATAATAATTAAATATATTTTAGTTTCTGATTTTTTATCTTATGAAAATTAATTTATGAAATTAAAGAAAACAATTGAAAACAATTAAAAGAATAAAAAGGAAAATCAAATAAAAAAAATAAAAATGTGCAAACCATGGAGGGTATTCAGACCCAAAGGGAGGTTTTTTGTGAGAAATCTGGCCCATTAGACAAAAAGCCTTGTTTGACTTTCTGGCATCACGTGCGCGTTTATTGACTCCTGAGTACCGTAGTCTGCATTCTTTGGCCATTGGATTGGGTTTCATGGCCATTTGTGTTCTGGCTGTTGGCCATTTGGCTTTTGGCCTCAACGTTCCTTAATCTTCTAGGATGTCTGTCTCGCCATGTATTAGTGTCATGCATAAGTTTTTCTACTTTGGCCATTTGGCGTTTGGCTTTTGGCCATTTGGCTTTTGGCCTCAACGTTCCTTAATGAACCTGCATGGGATCTAGTCTAAATCTGCAGTGTTGAATCTCATGAACACATTAAATAAAATCATAAAAATGAAAATAAAGCCAATATATGAAGAAATTTAATGTTTAGGCACAATATGACATGTATGAATGATTATACCCTTTTGATCATGGAGATCAAATCAATCTTACCCTTACTGGAAAATTAGTGACCTGAATGCTTTTATGCCTTACTGGAAAATTAGGATCATGGAGATCAAGCCAGCCTTATCCTTACTGAAGAAGTAGTGAGGTGTTGGTTTGTAACTGTGATGACTTGTTTGTAGTGAGAGAGGGATTTGTAATAATTTCAAGGTTTTAGGGTTCTTGAAAGAATTTGATATTCTAACAGTGTTGTGGCAAGGTTTTTTTCTCTCTTTTTCTCCTCTCTGGTTTGTATGAAAAGAAGGTGATTATATAATGGAAATTAGGGTAAAGAAAATGGGCTTTGAATGTGCAATTGGGCCTCCAATGTTCACTTGAGTTCGTCACTTTCCAGGCTAAATCGCAGGGACTTAAGTGCAATTTTTGAAGTTGAAATGTGAAGACAAAATGTAGCCGACATCGATAACTAACTCCTGTCCGAAAATCGGCTCAATCGGATAAACGGTGAATTAGTTATGAATTTTTGAAGTTTCAGCTCAGACAAACTTATTTTGGGCTCCAGTGTCGACTCTGACACGTTCTTCAATAAAAAACTGGTATTGATCGAAGCATAATCCGGTCTCGACTTTTGAAGCAAAGTTGTAGATCTATGAGTCAGTGACCTTGTGTAAAAATATGAGCCCAATCCGATAAAAATTGACCGAGTTATGAATTTTCGAAGTTTCGGCTCAGATGAAATAATATTCAGCATTCAGGATTTTCAGCGTGTCATGCACTCTGAGCAAAAAACGAAGGCCTTTTGAATACCGTTTGAACTCAGTACCTTCTGTGAAAATGTAGCCAACTCAATTTGTGAAATTTTGGCACCGGAACCAGCTCGATACGATGAAAATCGACCAAGTTATGATTTTCTGAACATGACGCAAATAAACTTCTGTCACAAATTTTCTGTATGAAAATACTTGATAAATCCATATTTTTGAAGACATTCTGATCGAAATTGGCTTCCATCCGTGAGAGATGAAAACGTAGATAATGTCAAGACGGAATTTTGGCCATCGGAACGGGTTCAAAACGAGTCACGATCTTCAAGTTATGAATTTTTTAGCGCGTAAAAACTGCACTTTTAGCACATTTTTTCACCATATTTCTTCGAGAAAACTCACACATTCGGATACCTTCTTTAAAGAATTGACTCTTGAGCCGAACCTGAATTTGAGAATACATTATCAGAGATATCTTGGCGAAAGAATACCTGAATATGACGCGCCGGGTTGGACTTGTGAATTTTTCTTGAAATATTTTGAGAAATATGGGAGGGCAAATTTTGGGGTACAACAGTTGCCCCTGTTCAATCTTCTTAAACCTGAGGATGTAGATTGGCTTGCGTGCCTTTCGTGATCCGAAGGTGGAAGATGATTGAACACTAAAGTGCCCAGAAATTTGCACTCGCATGGTGTAGTATCAGCAATGTGATGTAGGGGGAATGGGCTTATAGATGCCATTTGGAAGTGATGGATGGGGGGATGGGCTTATAGATGCCATCTGGAGCTGTGACGGAGCTTTGTCGGGAATGGGCTTATGGATGCCATTTGGAGACTGTTGGTATGTGGATGGGCTTATAGATGCCATCGAGAGGTTGTCGATCGCGTAAGAGATTCCTTAGCGAGAACTTGCGTACCTGCAAAAGAAAAGTGAGTACCTGGCATGTTACAGGAGCTGGTATTCAAACTCTTTGTATAGATGTGTCCTGACTGGTTACAGGAGCTGGATCTGGAGCTTCAAAAGGTGATGAATGAACCAGGGATGGTTACTACCTCAACAGGAACAGTGAGAGAACCTTGGATGATTACTACCTCAACAGGAACGCTGAGAGAACCTTGGGCGACTTCAACCTCAACAGTAACGCTGAGAGAATCTTGGGCGACTTCAACCTCAACAGTAACGCTGAGAGAATCTTGGGCGACTTCAACCTCAACAGTAACGCTGAGAGAATCTTGGGCGACTTCAACCTCAACAGTAACGCTGAGAGAATCTTGGGCGACTTCAACCTCAACAGTAACGCTGAGAGAATCTTGGGCGACTTCAACCTCAACAGTAACGCTGAGAGAATCTTGGGCGACTTCAACCTCAACAGTAACGCTGAGAGAATCTTGGGCGACTTCAACCTCAACAGTAACGCTGAGAGATTCTTGGGCGACTTCAACCTCAACAGTAACGCTGAGAGAATCTTGGGCGACTTCGCTGAGCGAATCTGGGGATGATTACTACCTTCGCAGTATCGGGGAGAGAACCAAAGGCGACTACAACCTCAACAGCAATCATTGAGAGAATCTTGGACGACTTCGCTGAGCGAATCTGGGGATGATTACTACCTCCGCAGTATCGGGGAGAGAACCAAAGGCGACTACAACCTCAATAGCAATCATTGAGAGAATCTTGGATAACTTCAACCTCAACAGCAATCGTTGAGAGAATCTGGGGATGATTACTACCTCCGCAGTATCGGGGAGAGAACCATAGGCGACTTCAACCTCAACAGTAATCATTGAGAGAATCTTGGGCGACTTCAACCTCAACAGCAATCATTGAGAGAATCTTGGATGTCTTCTACTGAGTCTTTATCAGGAAAATCTGTTAGGGGTCGATTTAGCTGGACTAGAGAAGGCCTTTGACTGGATAAGAAACAGAGAAATCTTTGGAGTCGATTTAACTGAACCGGTCTAGGTCTTGAAATGTCTTCAACTGGATAAGAAACAGGGAGATCTTAGGGTCGATCTGACTGAACCAGAGAAGGCCTTTGACTGGATAAGAAACAGAGAAATCTTTGGAGTCGATTTAACTGAACCGGTCTAGGTCTTGAACATAGCTGAGAGCTTAACTGACTCTTTTCTGAAAGGTAAAGGTCAGTCATATGCAATGCATGATATGGATCAAGCAATGATGTTCTCAACATAAATGAGATTCGTAAGATACGATGCGTATATGCATGCTATAATGTATGGAAATGTGATGTTTATGAATATGTGTTTTTCGTCTAGGAAAGTAAATCCTTGACGGGTGCCGGGAAGTCACTCCTGGGCTGATGTTTTGAAGAATGGATCTTTGCTTC